GAAATTCGGGCAGGGATGGCTGCTCTTGGAGAAAGTGCCTTGGGTGTTGGGGGAGTTGGATGGGCCAGAGTCCCAGTGAGTCAGCAGGGTGGAGTTTTGGAGCTCACCAGACCAATCAGATTCAGATTTGGCCGTGGTGAGGGTGGGTTCAACACAGGAAAGATGGTGCCCCACTGTGGGGGAAATGGTGACTTCCTTCTGCCCTCAACCTGAAGCAACACAACTCAGTCTGCCCCCCCATACATCTCTAACACACCCTGATTTACTGTCCTTCTGCTGGAGGTCAAGGTGAGTGCCTGCGAGTGAGAATCTGTGTGCTGGCCCTTTAAGAGGATGTCTGGGTTTCCTGCCATCTTCTCTCCCACCCAGATAGTCAGAATCCCCACTGTTTTTCACGGCTAGATGTTGTGGGAGCACCTCTTCCTGGCACCAGTACTCTGGGCTGGGAAGGCCGATGTGGGGCTGGGGTCCCTTGCTCCTCTGGAGGGAACCTCTGTAGTCGAGATGTCCTTCCTAGTTTCAACCACCACACGGAGGTTTGGGGTTAGTCAGTTCTGCATCTCTGCCCCTCCTACCAGGCTTGATGTGGCTTCTTTATATCCTTACTTATAAACTTTCTGTTCAGCCGGATTTCAGATGGTTCTCTGGGTTGGTTCTATAATTTAGTTGTAATTTTAATTTGTTCACAGAAGGAAGCAGGCACAGTGTTTATCTACTCCTCCATCTTGATCTCCTGATTTCTCTGTTAATACTTATGTCATTCCACTGCCTTCTGGTTATGTTGGCGTGGAAGGCTGAATCCTAACTCATACTTGAGAAGACAAGGATGGGTGCACAGGTGACTATCTGTGGACATGGAAATGGAGGGGGAAAATTCTAAGGCACCATTGAGAAGGAATTGAGGACAGGCTCTGTGGGAAATTTGATATGGATGGCAAAGGATCAGAAATTGAAATAACCTCCAGGATTTCAAGCCTTGGAAGTCGGGATTATGTATGTTTGGGGGAAGGGATGATTCTAATAAGAAAAGTTTTGAAAAATGACAATGCATAAAAGGATTTGCATTATATTATGTGAACATCTCAGAGTCTGTTCCTCTTCATGTTACTCCAGGACCAAGGCAGAAACTTTAACTCTTGTCTCTGATTTTGGAAGCTTGGATTTTCCTGTCAGACAGAAACTCCAATTGCCTCTGCAGGGCTACTTATTGCTCTGGGTCCCAGCTCCTGGCTTGTCTGGCTTCCCAGCCCTCCATCTCTCTGTGCAGTTATCCCCCCAACCCTGCACTGAGCCTTCCTGTCTCCCTGCTGCCTTTTAAAGCCCTGTAATTCCTTTGGGCCCAGCTCAGAGTTCTGCTCTTTCTATGAAGCCTTTCCACATTTCTTTTTTCCTGTTCAGAACAGCTTTTGTAGATGGGGTGCTATTTGAACTTTTTACTGAATGAAGATCACTGCTGATCACTTTACTGAATGAAGATATTACTGAAATTACCTAAAAATTTAAAAATGTACAGTCTGAATCGATTTTATATTTCTTTCATAAATAAGTCATGTTCCAGGATGACATATGGGGGAAAGTTTGTGCTTAAATCAATGAGGGCAAAGAAGTAAATCTTCTTGAAAATAATCCATGTGGTTGTTATGCTATTTAAGTTACAGAAGCTTCTTGCCAAAGTTTGTAAAAGTTTGTAGTTAAACAGCATTTAAGAGGTGGATGCACACTCTGCTTCTGCATCCAGGGTCTTAGCCCTACCTTTTGCTTGTGGCATAGCCGTCAGGCGTGGCAGTGTAGGGGCTGGTGAAAGGCACCATCCAGCCAGGTGCTTCCCAATAGTTCTGCTGCCTCATGGTGTTTGTTACCTGGGATCAGGTGCCCTCAGAGCTCCCTCATGAAACTGCTCTGTGTGGCTTACATACACCACATTTTGGAACCATAGTCTTCCATCTGGTAATTTACATTCAGAAACCCATCAGAGGTAAATCTGACTAAAAGTCATTTATTTGCAAAGCCAAGTTTTTTCTTCAGAGGCTTGTGAGTGAAGATTCAAAGATTGCTACATGGAAGTGAGGTCAATTGCAGGCCTTTGACACATTGAATTGGACTTAGGTAGTCAGCGGGGCTGGGGGATGGTGTTAGGACAACTTATGCGTAAGGGAGAGCAGCCTGTGCGTAAGGGAGGCTTTGAGTTTAGGATGGCAAATTAGGACAACAAAGTCCTTGTGTGTTCAAGTCTATCTTTGCCAAGATCTGCCAGTTCTTTCTGAAGGGGCAGAGGAAAGCTATGATTTTAACTCTTGATTGGAAATGCTCTTTCTTTTATCTAACTGGTAAACATTTATTACAAAATGCACGTCTTTTGGCTAGTTCGGCATTGTCAGGGCCTTGCATTTTATCTTTTCACAGAAGCATGCCAGTGACTAAGCATCCTCACAGCAGCATGACAGTGATATTAAACAGAGAAGTTGAACATAGGCATCAGGGAATGAATGGTTCAATAATTTATGGTACACCCTATTGTAGGATATTGTTCAAACACTAAAAAATGAGGTCTATCTGTGTGTAGAGATGTGTAAAGAGGACCATAGCATACTGTGAGAAAAAGAGCAAGATGAAAAATAACATATGCAAGCAAACCTTGTTCTATTGCACTTTACTTTATTGTGCCTCAGTATGTTATGTTTTTTTTGCAAACTGAAGGCAATACCTCCACCAGCAAAAAGATTAGGACTCACTTTATTGTGATACTCACTTTATTGTGGTGGTCTGGGACTGAACCCACCTTATCTCCAAGGTATGCCTGCATACGATGAGCTATTTTTGTTCAGAAAAAAACTCATGTATATGTACATAGAATATGCTTAATAATAATAATTAATAATAATAATAGGTAATATTCATTAAATTCTTATTCTGTGCTGCCACTATGCTTATTACTCATATACCCAAATGATCTCATTTAGTTCTCACAACGGCTATGAGGTAGGTACGCGATTGTTTAATTGCTTTACACAGATGAGGAAACTGCAGCCTGGAGAGGTTATAAACCTACCCCAGGATGCATAGTAGAACAGACACAAAACTGGGACTCGAGCCTGAAGCCTGCACCCAACCTCCATGCGTGGTGTACTTCTTGTTAACATTTATCTGCTGAAGGAATATAAGGTGGCCTAGGATTTATTTAGTAGGGACATCATATGAGACTCAGACATGAGATGGGTACTGAACTAGGTGTCTTCAAGATCCTTCCCTCACTCTGAATTTGTGTCCAGGCTGCAGAACCCTTCTGGGTGTGTTTCTGAAAGTGCCACTTGTCTGTACAGGACACCCCCTCCCCCACCCCACCTAGTGCCTCTCCACTCCATGATGCTGTTATTTATTTTGGAATTCAGAGGGCAGTTAGGCTGCTTTGTTTTCCGACTTTTTGCTAGCTCTCCAAACCTTGATGAGTACTTGATACTTAAACTTCATCTTGCTCTTAAAGCAAATTTAGAACGTAATGGCTACAGTTCTAACTGTTAGGGTAACCTAGTTCTGCAGTTCACATTAAACATTAGCTCATATTGCCTCCAGGTTTGGAACCAATGTACCCAGAAGAAATTTATAAAGGGACAGAGATGTTGAAATATTTTAAGTGCAAACAAGATTCCTGTGTGCTAGGAAGGACTAGGCTATATCGTCTAAAGTCCCTATTTGATTCCTCATATTGCCATCCTTTCCCAGGGGGCTTTTCCTCTCTGCATTTTCAGCAGTGTGTACCTAAGCATTCCAGCTCACTCGTTAAATGCCTATGATTAAATACGTATACATAAAATCTCTAACTTTATTCCAGAAGAGATCACTTCAATATAGTTTAATTGCTGGAGGGACAGCACTGCTATGCTGATCAACTTGCAAAACACAAGGTTTGGCGCCTCAGAAAAAAATTTTAAATGTTCATGTTATAAGTACAGGGGGGATTTGGTCACCAGAATTGTTAGTTGGGGCTATTACATCCTACCTTTTGCTTCCCACAGTCCAGTCTTTGATTCACCAGGTTTTGGCTGATTACTTTTTATTGCTTTCTAGTAGGAACTGGTTTCTCCACCCATTCTCATTCTCTGTGATCTCAATTCCCTATTGTTCCTTGGGCCATGGATGCAGCTAGATCTGCAAGTGGGAGAGAATGAAGTGAGAGTTGCTGTCATTTAGTGCATGAACTGGTTAAAGATATAATCCTGTCTACTTCTTTTCTTGGTCAAAGCAAAAATAATGCAGGAGTTTCATGAGCAGAATGTTTATCACATATATAGAACTGAATAATTTATTTTATTCTCTGGAAGCTTTGGGAAACTGAACTATGACAATTTCCCTGCAATGAATCTGTCTCTCAAGAGTCCTTTTCCAAAAAACATTGTTTTCTGTAATCTTTCCAGACACTTTTTTAACATCTTGTTTCTTAATGTGACTGCCAACGTCTTAAAGAAGTTGACAGTTTAGGTGATTTCTATTAGCAAAATAATGTGGACTCAAAAGCTTTTCCTCTAAAAAGAATCTGTTGTATAATATCTAAGCTGACTCAGGATACAGGTGCATGCTCTCACTGAGAGGGTGGTAGAAGAAGTGCACAACCCGGACAGCGTGTGGGCAAGGAGGAGGCACCCAACAGCAAGGGCCACTCTGTTGCAATCTTAGCCCAAGCATATCTCTGGAAGAGTTTCTTGCTGCCTGTCTTAGTCCTAGGTAACCACCGCCCTCCCTCCCCTCCCCAACGTGGGATGTTAACCTTGGAGCGATATGGAGATTAGCTGCAGAGCTGAAGCAAAATCCCAAAGGATCTTCAGTTTTGCAGAATCTATACAGTCTTCTTTTCCATACACTGACCAGATGCTTAGGGCTTGGGAAATCAGAGCTAAGGACTAAAATTCCTCAAGGTAAGAAGCCCCCCCTCCCCCGCCCCGGAAATGGACTTCTCCAATTTTCTCTCATGATTATGCAGGCACTTTCACTTTTCCATATATAGGAGTCACTCAGGAGCAAGCTCTGACCAGTCAGAGGGAGTTACACATCTATATTTAGTCCCTCCCTTCTCACCCATCCTCACCTTACTCTTGGATGCTCGCAGGCAGTTAGGCAGAAGTGAGCTCTGTGGTTCTGCCAGACAAGCCTGTTGGGTTTAAAGAACAAAAAAAAAAAAAAAAAAAAAAAAAAAAAAAAAAAAAAAAAAAAAAAAAAAAAAAAAAAAAAGAAAGAAAGAAAGAAAAAAAGAAAAGAAAAAGAAAAAAAACCCTCAAAGTCACAACATTAAAATTGTTGCCTTGAAGAAACTGAGTGGAGAAGTGTGAAAAGATGAATGGACCAGTGGATGGCTTGTGTGACCATTCTCTAAATGAAGAAGGAGCCTTCATGTTCACATCGGAATCTGTAGGAGAGGGACACCCAGGTAAGTAGGTTGTTCTGGATCGATGGCGACCTGTACCAAGGGAGTCACTTTTCCTAGAGGTCTTAAAACAATCTGTGTTAGTTATTATAAAGGATCTCTGGAGGAACAATGTGAGGTATTTTTTAGTCTATTTGCGGTTTTATAGAACAGTCACTCATTATGCAAATGATAAATTGTAAGTTAATGAAGCCAAGGGTCCGTGCTGCCACCACCAGCACCTCAGCATGGTGGAGCCGCAACGGAGAACATGCAGCTGGTTGGCTAAAGATACCATACATATAAAATGTATCATCAGATATAAATATTTTACATATTTTTTTGAGTAAAACTTTAATTTATTATCAATGAGCAACTTAAGTCAACAGAGAAGGTTCCCTCAAGACTGTGTAGTCACTAAGTTTTGCATGTAAAGCATGTGTAGTTTAGAAATGGACAACAAGGCATTCTAAGAGGTGCTGAGATAGATCTCTAGGTCCTGGAAGTCTCAGCTATGCTCTCTAAGAGAATTACAGTTGCCTTCCTGAAGAGAAAGAAAATTCAAGCATTTTTTTGTCCCTGAAAGGTAGGTGGACTGTGATATGGGGAAATGAGAGAGCCTTTCATGGTGACAGTGAAGACCATGATCAGAACCTCAAGTTCTAGGACAGTGGTTCTCACACTTCAGGGTAAAACAGAGTGCTGGGCCTCACCCCTAGACTTTCTGATTTAGTAGCTCTTGGGTGAGGCTCAAGAATTTGCTTTATTACTAAGCTCCCAAGAGATGCTGCTGCTGGTGTGGAAACCACACTTTGGGAACCACTGTTCTAAGAAATCCCTGGGGGCTAGACACACTGGTTTATGTATTTAAAAGCACTTCTTCAAAATTCATTGAAGTATTTGAAGTTTTGGGTAACTTATTACCAAGTCTACCTTTTTTTCATTGTCTTCATCCTTGTTCTTTCTCAAAGAGATTTAACTTTCATACCTTGTAACTCAGCTTTAGACATCTCAAGGCACTACACTTTCCATATGCTTTAGCCACTGGTTCTCAGCTGGGGAAGATTTTGTCCCCTTTCTCCCAAGGGCATTTCATAATGTTTGGAAACATTTTTGTTTTCACAACTGGGGTGGTGGTGGTGGTGGTGGTGGTGGTGGTGGTGGTGGTGGTGGTGNTTTAGACATCTCAAGGCACTACACTTTCCATATGCTTTAGCCACTGGTTCTCAGCTGGGGAAGATTTTGTCCCCTTTCTCCCAAGGGCATTTCATTATGTTTCGTATCATTTTTGTTATGATTATTGAGGTGGGGGTGGTGGTGGTGGTGGTGATGGTGGTGGTGGTGGTGGCGGCGGCAGTGATACTGACATTTAGTGGATAGAGGCCAGACATGCTTCTAAACATCCTGAATACACAAGACCATCCCCCTGCAACAAAGAATTTTCCAGTCCCAAATGTCAATAGTGCTGCTGTTGAGAAACCTTGGCTTAACCTGGATTTTGTATGTGACTTAACCCGATTCAATGTAAATAGCCTCTTTCATTGTACATAACTTTATAAAGCTTCTAGGTTTACAGTACTTGTAACCTCAAATCTTTTGTTATGTCTGGGACATTCTGCAAAACTCCATGGCTTATGAAGGCCATCTATAGGCTAGGATTTGCTCCACCTGGAGGAAGTAGGTACTTTGGCACGCAGCAGCCAATAGTCCCATCGTACACACAGCAGTGAGCTCAATGGACAGAGCATGGACATTTCAGCCAACCACTTGGATGTTTTGTCTACTTAATAATGGCAGACCTTCAGGTTTCTCCTTTCACTTCCACTATAAATTAACTGTCCCAGTAAGTCAGTCAGTTTCTGACAAGGCTTGGTGACTTTCTGCTTCTCATTTGAGGGCTGAATACCTCTCCACCAGAAAGATAAAATTGATGCTTCTTTTTCAACTTCCAAGAAAACCAACTATTGGCTATCTTAAGGCTACTAAGTGATAACGATAGAAATTTCAAAAACCTAAAGAAACAGTTGCAGAAGGGCCTCGTTAGATGTTGTTTGAGTCTGCCAAGCTATCTTCATACCCTTGCTCAACTCCAGCTTTATCCCTAATATCTCTTATCCCATTTCCCTGTGTTGGGAACATGTGACTTGTGTCCTTTAAGTAAGCAGAGTCATCCATGGTCAAAGCCCTGATTGGTAGGCCAAAGTGCATATTTGAGCAGCAGGAGGCCTTCATTGGTAGGGATGTGCAGTGGCTATGGATGTGTACAAAGTGGGATTTACAACCAGGTCTGCCACGGGCAGGAGGAGAGATAGAAAAACTCAGCTACATGTTTAACAGCAGTTTCTGAAGGAAAGATCGAGGATTTCACCTTTAATGACAGACTAACATTTTTAATTACAGAACCTAATGGGCACTTTTGAGAGCAAAACTGCTTGATTCTGGATCTGGATTCTTAATTTTAAAACTTAAAAAAGTAAGAGGGTCACAAGGAACCTTTTGGAGATGATGCATATGTTTATTAGCTTGACTGTGGTGATGGTAACACACGTGTATACATATGTCCAAACTCACCAAATTGTACACATTAGTTATATGTAGATTTTTTTTGGTATACCAATTATATCTCAATAAACTGGAAGAAAACCTTATTAACCTATTAAGAACAGACTCTATGGGTATTTTGAACACTGAATAAGATATATTATGTGTACATAGATGTCACTTTTATTTCTGAATTTGTGAGCATTGACAGTTCACATGACCCCAAAGCAAGAGTGAATTTTTCCACAACGACATGCATTGGTCCACGTGCTGAACCATATAGAGTTTTTAAGGCAAATATAGAATAAGGTCAAATGCCAGCTCATATTGAACTCTTGTCAGTCCCACCTTGACTGAGGAGGTCAAACCCAGGTATCTAGCCTTCTGAGTGACCATGGGGATTATCTGGGAGCTGCTTATGGAGATGTTCTGCAAAGCAGCAATGGTATGTGGAGGTTCTCTTATAGAATCCTCTGGGTGGGGTCGTGGGACTGGGTGTGGTGGTTTATACACCGTGCATTGCACCTTATAGAGCCTGCGGTACAATGCATCCTTTTGTCCCGTCTGATTTTACATCTTGGCACCTAATCTTAATGATGTTATTAGCTATTTTAATTTCTATATCTAGGACTTTTCTAGATGTTAGGTTTAAAGGGAATATGTTGCGGAATGAGAGACTTCTTAGGAGAGAAGGGAGAGAGAGAAATTGTTTTATACTCTTAGAACTGGTTTTGTAACATGTTTCTTTTTTAAGGGAATTCTATGACTTGATACATCATCCAAAATTAGAAGCAGGAAGAAATAAAAATGTCTAACTTCTTATATTTAAAAAAGTCTCCTGAATTGTTAGACAGATTTGACATGTAAACTGACAAAATATCTAATTATTTTAACGTTTCAGTTTGCTATCCCTAACGTCTCTGTGATTCTTACACATGTTCACTCTCGTCCAGATAAGATCTGCGACCAGATCAGTGATGCAGTGCTGGATGCCCATCTCAGGCAGGACCCCAATGCCAAGGTGGCCTGTGGTAAGAAACACCTGCGCCCTTCCTGCAGGAGACCCAAGTGGGCTGAGCTTGAACCCTTTATCTGTGTTGAAGCCCTCAGCACAGCAGAGGTGATTAGGTCTAGGTCTCTCACTTTACTGAGGGGTCATGGATGCAGCTGAATCAGGGCCTTGGCCAAGGTCATGGGTTAGGGGTGCCCAGCATGGAGACCAGAGCCCTGCTATTCTCACTATCAGTACCCTGTCCTGCCTGCTGCACAGGTGGATGTTTCCCTCTCCAGTGCCACCCTGGCCCCTGCATTGAGGACTGTGGGGGCCCTTGCCCCTCTGAAGGCAGACTTCACCCTGAAATCTTTGCTAATAGTTGGAGAGAAGGTTGGCCTGCCTTGAGTCTTTGTTCAGGATCCCACTCCCTAAAGCCTCCAGTGGAGTTTTGGCAACAGGGGACAGGAGAGCCTCACATATGTTGACTGCATTCTTTATGATAACTACATACAACCATTGTCTCATTTAATCTGGTCTTATTATTATCTTCATCTAACAGTTCAGGAAACAGACATAGGCCAAACAAATTGTTCAAGATCATACGAGGAGTTAAGTACTTGATATGAAAATTCAGGTGTGACCAGTTCTTTCCCAAGCATAGTTCTCCAGGCAGCATTTGAAGATGGTCAGCAACTGTGCTGAAATTTACTCCTGTTATTAGCATTATTATTTTCTGTCTGAAATCCATTCCTGGTAAGCTTCCTGTGAGTCTCTTTATCAGCATGGGAGAGGTCTAGCTATTGAGCTTCCCTGTGCTGCACGTGGCCACTGCCTTTTCTTCTTCCCTTCCAGAGACGGTGTGTAAGACAGGCATGGTGCTGCTGTGTGGGGAGATCACCTCCACGGCCATGGTGGACTACCAGCGGGTGGTGAGAGACGCCATCAAGCATATTGGTTATGACGACTCTGCCAAGGGTGAGGGCCGGGCCCCGGGCCTGAAATACATACTGGTCTCCGCTGAGAGAGCCCTCAGTGCTGAGTCCCACCTGAGGCTCCCGGTCTTCTGGAAGCACTGGGGGGTGGGGGACATTCCTAGGCCCACCTGTCAGGGACCAGGGGTCAAAGTCTCTGGCAACAGTATGGCAGTCCAGGTGACAGTGCCCTGTTGAACCCGCCATGTGCATCTGCTGTTGGCCCTGGTCTTGTTGAAGACCCTGCCTTCTTGGAGCTTTGGAAGGGAACGAAGCTGAGTAAGAGGAGCTGCTCTCTACTGGGGACATGTCCTCTGCAGGTCACTAGCGCTGGTCTCTGTTGTGTGTCATCTTCATCGTTTGAGGAACTCTGTTGTACTCTTATGCAGATGAGGAAACTGAGGCTTAGAGATATAAATGATTTACATAAGGTGACACAGTTAGTAAGTGGCTCCGCCATTTGGGACTCCTGTGCTTTCTGCTAAACTGTGCTGCTTCCCACTGTGGACAAAAAGATGACTCGGTCCAGAACTGCTCCTGATCGTAGGCGAAGGAGGCAGGCTGGCCCAGGTTGACCCCAGTGGCAGGCAGTGTGGGAGCCTAGAACCAACCCAGGGAAGGGGCACAGGCCCTGACAGGAATTGAGGAGCATTGCAGTCAGGTGAGGGTGAGAGCTGGAAAGAACTGAGTGCCTGACATTGCAGGATTGTTACCTTTTGGCTGTGTAACTTTCACTCGATCATCATTTGTCAGCCGCTGACGTTCTTGCGATAGTCACTCGCCAGCCACTTTGTGTTCACGTGATCCTTACGTGCAGGCCATGTGACATTTGCACGATCATCACGTGTTTACCACGTGAAGTTGCCGCCATTATCATGTGTCGACCGCATGATGTTGGCATACTGGTCACGTTGTGTTTCGAAATACTGCCGCGAACATCATATGCCGAGCTGATCCGTGTGCCTACGCCAAAAGGGCCACCGTGCACTGCGATGGACGCAGTAGCAAGGCCTCCAGCTCACCACTGCTCACTGCTCTTTGAAGCACACCCACTGAGTTCACTGCCCTTTCCAAGCCCTGCCTCTCTCCTTAGTCCCCTAATTTCCGTTTTTCCAAATCACTTGAAGCCCTTGATTTGCTTTTCAGCACTAAGAAGATTCATTACTTAGGCTGATTAGGCAAAATGCAAAATTGGTGAGCCCGTGGCAGCTCTCTAAAGATTGTTCATTGGTTTGGCATTCAAAAGCATTCACTGGGAACAGGCGGCAGCACAGGACAGAGGTGACCTGATGTCCCTGGAGTAGGGACGTTGGCTGGCATTGATTGATGCAGTATGAGGTGCCCAGCAGGGAGTCGGTGGCATAGTGTGCAAGGAAGAGCTGTGGGAGGGTTCAGGAACATTTACTGAGAGCTGGTTGGATTTGGGTGTGGAGATGAGGAGTGGGTTGGAGGAGGAGCATTGTAGGCAGAGATACCTAGTGGAGGTAGAAGAGTATGTCATGTTTAAGACTAAACCCAAGTTCCGTTGGCTGAAGGAGTTCAGCTCACAGGGGCTGAGTGGAACTGAGGAGTTCATTTTTACTTTATTTGGCAGTATGGCCCCACTTGATGCATATAAATAAACAATAGATTGGATCTGTGTTTGTTTCTTTGTTTGTGTTAGAAATCCCACTCTGGCAGCATGGGTAAGAGAATAGACTAGAAAGAAGATGACGGTCAGCATGACACTCATACTTGACCTTGTGATAGGGCCTCTGTACACTTTGGTTCCTCATTCACACAGTCCTTACAATTGAGCCCTGCACAGTTGGAGGGCCGACAGGGAGAAGAATGTGCTTTCTGCACAGCACTCCCTCCTGGGGCTTCTTAGGCTGGGCTGCTGTGGGCCCAGACTTCCCTGGCCCAGTCCCCAGCCTGCTGCCCCCTGCCTGGGGACGACCAGCCCCCACCTCTGTGCCTGAGCTATGGGGATGGGCAGATAGGCGGCAGAGGTGTGGCTTTTGCCTTTGTCTCCAGGCTCTCAGGATCACATCTTGGGATCAGAGAACTGTGGCCCTGGGGGCCTTGCTGGATAGTTCCTGTACAATGTATTTGTTCAGTACATTTAGTACACATGTTCCTTGACTTATGATGGGGTTACATCTCCACAAACCCATCATAAGCTGAAAGTATCGTTAAGTCGAAAATGCCCTTAATACACCTAACCTACAACATCATAGCTTAGCCTAGCCCACTTAAACATGCTCAGAACACTTACATTAGCCTACAGTTCGGTAAAATCACCTAACACCACGAATACACAGTAGAGTATGGGTTGTTTACCCTCGTGATCATGTGGCTGACTGGGAGCTGCAGCTCGCTGATGCTGCCCAGTATCACAAGAGAGTATCGTACTAAATATCGATAGCCCAGGAAAAGATCAACATTCAAAATCTGCAAAACAGTTTCTACTGAATGGGTATCACTTAGGCACCATTATAATGTCAAAAAATCGTAAGTCAAACCATCATATGTTTGGGACCATCTGTAATTAGATTAGGCCTGCACCTGGGGTTCTAAATGGCAGTGATAGAAGGACCCTGGGTTTTCACTCAGTGCAGTGATTTTCAACCTGGGTCCTGCGAGGTGCATCTGGGAGAAGCCGTGGGGGCAGGGCCAGGAGTCACTCACCTGCTCTTCAGCCAGAGCAGCTGTGCTGTTATCTGATTTTTAGACTGCAGTTCTGTGTAGGCTATATATTTCTAATCAAGGTATAATTTAATACAGTGAAATGCACGATGGAGGATTCTCTTTGACTGAAGAGTTCCACATGGTGGTAAGGATGCATGGCCCTCCCCATCCTGGGCCTCAGCTCTGGGCCCAGACAGATCCCACTAGTTAGAGACCACCCACGCCGTCACTAAGTGCCATGTCAGGAACAGAACAGTCCCCCGGGTAGCTCCTGGCCACTTCTGTCCGACATGTGCACCCACTCAGGCCTGCTTTCCCTTTTCCTTAGGTTTTGACTTCAAGACCTGCAATGTGCTGGTGGCTTTGGAGCAGCAGTCTCCAGATATTGCACAGTGTGTCCACCTAGACAGAGATGAAATGGATGTCGGTGCTGGAGATCAGGTACGGGAACACCGAGCGGGAGCGCTGTGCCAGGGCTTCAGTGCAGTGCATCTTGTGTTGGCGCCGGCCCTGATGGGTGCCTGAATAACGAATGATCACACTGGGGGGTGGCCCCTCATCCCAGAGGAATGCCAGGGGTTACGTGCCTCGCATGAGCTGGGCATCCCTGCTTCAGGGCAGCGACTTGAGGGCACCACCGGCTGAGGAAGGCTGTGATCACTGATGCCAATTTGGGCTCGTCTGCCCCTCCTAGAGCATTGGGCATCAGGGACTGTGCCTTCCCTTCCACAAGTGCTCAGTGCACACGTTGCATGCATGAGGCACCCAGTATGGGTTGGAGAGCAGCAGAGTTTTAGATCTGCAGAGCGTGGTCCTGTGTCTAAAGTGCATGTTGCTCCCTCGGCCCTCTGCCTTGCTCCAGGGTTTAATGTTCGGCTACGCCACTGATGAGACAGAAGAGTGCATGCCCCTCACCATCATCCTCGCTCACAAACTCAACGCCCGCATGGCAGACCTGAGACGCTCCGGGGCCCTCCCCTGGCTGAGGCCCGACTCAAAGACTCAGGTCAGCCTCTTCCTTTGCCTTCCTTTGTCTGGGAGCTCCAGACACACACTGTAAGCACCCCCAAATCCTCTTGATTCTTGTTAGCATTAAGATCAAAACGTTCAGTCTGGGCACTGAAAGCATTGTTGATTTTGAAAAGAACTATTTATTTGAAAAATCTCTAGATGTTTTTTTCCTCCATTTTATTATGAAAACTTTCAAAAATACCAAAAAATGGAAAGAACAGTTCTAGATTTTTTTTTTCCCTTCTTCGCACGTCTTGACTCTGGTAATGTGATTCCCCAATTCCTGCCACAAACTTACTTCTTAACTGGCTTCAGACTTTTGGTCACTGTCTTGCCACATGCACAGGCTCCACATCCTGAGCAAAGCCTGAACAAGGACCATCGGCCTCTCACTGGGGGCCTTCTTTGCTTCTCATAAAAACACTTTATCTTTGCTGTTTCTGACTCTCTGTCCCCTTGGGCCCTGACCTCTCTGCTCCCTGCAGTGTGGAAACCCCCATGAAGTCTATATTTGAAGGCTGGCAGTGATGCAAGTGTTAACACACCTGGGGGCCTCCTGTCCCCCTTCATTGTCCACGTCCTGCTCTGATTAATCCCGATGCCTCTGAACGCCCCTTTCCTCAGGGCTTGTATCCCTCTTTCCACTTTACAACAGGCGCTTGGCACGTCTTCCGCACTCTCTTCCCTTCTACCCATGCTTGTAGATCCAACTCTCACCTACTCTCACTCGGCTCCCAAATCTTCCACCTGCAGGCCTCTCTGAATCACCAGCCCCATTTCTCATTCACCCTGCAAACAAACATGCCCAGGAGCCCACAGTGTGTGTGCACTGTCACCTATTCAGCTGAAGGGAGTGCACCGGAGTGCCACCTATCACCCCCGCTCTGCTCAGTGCCCTGTCTCCGCTTTGCCTGTGCCCCACCTTCTCCATAGAGCATCCCTCTGCTCCAGCCCATTTGCCACCAGGGCCAGGATCAGTGCCAGTCCCACCCAAGGGTTTTCCCTGTCAGGAAACGCCAGTTAATCCCTTTGGGCTTTATTTCTAATTTCCTAATGTCTGCACAGAATCCACAACTTTCTGCTTCCTGTGGGGGTGGGGGAGGAACCTCACTTGTTATTCTGGCATTCAGAGCCCTTTATGGTCTTCCAACATTACCTTCTCCTGCCTCCCCGCCCTCAGTCTTTGCTTGATCTGTATTATTTCACACCTGTGCCCCTTGTTTCTTAGTGCTTTGCCCCTGTGTTCATACCCTGAACCTTACTTGGGCTCTTTCTCTGGTTCCTACCTGTCCATCAGTGGTCAGCGAAGGCCCCATCTCCTCATAGTTTCCCTGGACACCACCAAACGGGGCCTGCTCTTGTCCCTGCACTTGGAGTTCAGCTCATGTGATTTTATAGCTCAGCATGGTGCATGTGACTCGTCCATTACTCCAGCTGCACAGGCATGCATCCTCCACACCCCAAGTATAAGGTCACACAGGGCAGAGGGTGCATGGTGGCTGTGCCTGGGGCAAGGAAGCACATTTGTGGCCTAAAGGAAACCTTTCCTTGGGACTTCTGGTGTTACCCACGTGCCCCATGGTGGGGTGGAATTAGCTGCATTCCTCAGCTGTTCTTTGAGGTTGTGGGGCAGGAAAGCTCAAAAGAAAGGGTCGTGATGGTGCCAGGTGAAAGGGGCATGCAGATGTTGGCATGCCCTGTCCATCCTGTATCCAAGCTGTGCTGTGGAGTAGAGATTCACAGAAAAGGGAATCTTAGAACAGGGACTGGAGGAAGTGATGGAGCTACTGAGCTTTCCTTTTCCTTCTGAGATGAGGACTGGAGCTCCACC